ACAATCCATCCTGCGACTGTGTTCAGCTTCAAATACTGGAAGAAATCGCAATCTCGCGCTTGTAGCTCCTTGCATATGGCAGTCGGACTCCATGAGGCAATTTTCCATTGGGCAGATGTGATTGCTGACCATGCAAACGGTGTTTGCCAGAAGATATTCTGAGCTCGTCGCTCTGGCTTCTTCTTTTTGGCACCCATAGGCTTGCATTTCTTTTCTTTGATTTTCTTGCTGATTTTTTGTCCAGGACGCGAGGCCTCGGCTACATCACTACGCGATGGACCGGTAACGTCTCTCAGATTCGGCTCAATCTGTGATTTAGATTGGTAAGGGAACACACATTGTTGAAAGAAGCTACTAACTTTTCTTCGTTTTTTTCCAGGATTAAGAAGCTCTTCTTCTGCTCGTCGCTTTGCTCGCGAACACCGTTTGCGTTCGTTCTGCCAGGCTTTCCTCTCCGCATCGGCATCCGCCTTCTTCCATCGATCAACCTTGGCCCATTCCTCCGCTCGCTCTTTCTGTTCCTCCGCCTGCTTAGCAAAAATGTCCTGCTTTTCCTTCGGCGTCAACACCTTCAGGCTACCCCATCCAGGCATGCGAAACAGCGGAGCAAGGGCCTTTCCCCCCTTTTCCATGGCAGCACGTGCCTCCTGTGTTGCTGTCTGTGCTGTCTTCTTCACCCGCCTCTTCAATGGGCTTTTACTTGGCGTATCCGTCGCTTGCTGTGAATGAGAGCGCTTTCCCGTTTGGCTCGGTGGTGTTACAGGCCGCTCGAAGGAGTGTTGTGGGCTCATCGGAGTCGGCGATGGCGATGGCGATGGACTGGGGGAGGGAACAACATGACGACTTGCTGAACGTGATGGCAGGGGACGAATGAGATGCGGTGTTGGAGACGATGGATCACCAGTTTCAGAACAGTCGCTTTCACCTTCACTTTCACTTTCGCCCTCATCGTTGTCCCATTGGCTTTCTTCATCGTCACTTTTGCTCTTGCCTGAGCTCGTATCCGAGTCTACTTTCGAAGGTGAATTTGAAGTCCTTTGCATCGTTTTCAAACCTTGCGAGCTGAATGACCAATTAGATTTGCTCTGTCATACCCGTATCAGGTACTCGCCTTACTCCAATGTCGCTGCACAATCTGCGGGAACATTTTTAATCGCTCGTCTGCCATGGCGCTTGGTGTCGTGTTCGGGAAAGGGAAGTGGTCAGCGTCGAAACAGTATTTGAGAGCAGATGCGGCCATGACTCTGCAGGAATGTGCGTCGTTCTGACGAGGGACTGGTATGTTCTTCCACTCGAATTTGCGCCCCATATGCTCAGCAATCCACCAGTCATAGGCACTTTGTAACTTGTCCGGGACAGAGTCTTCCAGTGAGTCACCGTAGGAGACTGTACCCACTTCGCTATCAACAATGATGGCCACCCAGTGGGTATTGTGGATATTGGCAATCGTTCCCAGCCGTCGCCGTGTACCCACCCCAAACTGTTGCCCAACCTTGCGAATCCACGGACTCTCGATAAGGTCTGCACGATAGCTATTTTGGCGGGAAAATGCTTTGCAGAGAGCCGTTGTGAAGAAGGTGGTTTCAAGAGCATCCCCTGCGTCCCGGTCGAGTGACAAGTCCTTTGCAGCAAGGTCCATGAGAGCATTCTCATGGCCCGATTTGAGCCAGTCATTTGTGAACCAGCGACTCTTGGGTCTTCGTCATTGAAGCCAAGTGCCTTTCCACCCCAGCTAAGCCGCTCCAGCACCCGAATCGTCTCGTCAGCTCGGTATGCAATCTCATCATGGTCTCCCATGTATTCACGACGTCCTCGAAGCTGTGACAGAGCGCGCTTCCACGCCTTTTTTGCTGTAACTGCTGGTTCGAGCTCAGCCCAAAGCTGCACAAGCCAAATCGGATGGAGGACACTGGTGTCCGTCTGGCTAATATGAAGGAGCCGGATTGAGTGGAGGTTGGGGTTATCTCGCACTTGCTTGATGAGGGTATCGATAAGTGTCAACGGTGGAAGGGGGATGTTGGAAGCGTCAAACTCGGTGACTGTTGGAAGCGCCTCTGACAGGTACTGCAACGCGTCATTCTGTGCCACAGAGCCAAGCTGCTTGGGCAGGGAGGTGTCGAGAAGCTGGAGGATAGGAAGTGTTGCTTGAGGGACAAGCTTTTCGCGGTGCGCTACCGGAATATGACGCATATCCGGGAGGTACACCATTTCGCAGTCGTAGTCGAAGGGGGAAAAAATGTTACGTGAAGGATTTCCACATTGGGCAGGATGTGTCATTCTCAAATACTAAGCTGATGATGGTACTATTCTGCGTCTATTTCAGAGATCTTTGCTGCTTCTAAATATGTTTTAAGGCAAAGTCCCCCAAAATAGGGCAGTTTGGCGAAATTTTTGAAGGTGTCACACAATTTTTGACCCATTGGCAAGACCTCCACTTCGCTTTTTTGGTCACAGGTCACACCCCATAGCGAACTGAATATAATGGTACAGTATCAATATACATGCTCCAAAATTGCAAAGTACCTTGATTATAAGATTTAGGTACATTTAATATTAATACATAATATGGTCACTATACTATTGACTGAGATGGATTTTCATGTTTGCCTGTCAAGCACTCTGCAGTATATGGCTTCACTATGGCTGGTCTCAAATCTCCACCTGATTCTGGGTGGGATGCAAATGATGCAAATTGGATGGCTGAGACTCTTGGACCGGCAATAGATGGGCGATTTTGGTTGGGTTCAGATACTAAACATCTGGATATTGCAACATGGGCTGATCCCATTTTATCAGTCTGCCTAATCTGCACACGAGAGTTGAGGATCTAGTATTGGTGAGCATATCTCTACGGAGACTCTACCCAATAGTTCTCTCTTAAGAAACTTACCATAACAATACTGATAGAGTAGACTTTGGAGAGCCATAGGCAAGTTCCTGCAGACAATTATATAAAAGGTACTGTGCAATTATTAAGGTCATACCCAAATGGATGTTATTGCCATCATATGCGATGAATAGTGCCAGATCAACAAGGGCAAATATGGCACATGGAATTCCAGTCTGAATAGTGACCTGTAAATCTTGAATAAGTATAGTATGCATAAGAGAGAAAGATGATATATACAGTGATTATTCTGCCTACAGCTGCCTGAGTAGGGCTACTGAAGCCTGGCTGACGGGCTTTGCAAAGGTAATAAACAGTTGCAATAACTATCAGAAAATCAGCAGCAGCAGTTGCACTGAGCCATGCCTCAGGTTGTTCAGTAATGTGGTATATGGTATGGCCAGCAATTATACTTACAACTGGAGGCTTCATCCTATCAAAGGTTAATGCAGAAAAGTGTTTTGCCTGAATTATTTGGACACCTGTCCAAATTCCTGCACCAAATTGAAATATAGTGATCTACAGAATATCGTTCAGTGATCAAATCTGTGAAACGAAATATACAGTTGTGATAAGAATAGGGACTACCCATGCATCTTGCCCACTAATAATGTGGATTCTCCAAGCAAAGAATAGTTGACCAACACATCCAACTAATGAAGATCTTTATAAACAGCAGAGAATTGGAAGCTACTTGTGAACATACTTGTTGATCCTAGCATAGGTACACTGAACCATGCCCACCCTACATTATCTAAACTGGCAAAGTTACCCCAGTCACTGCCGAATATTCGAATTGTGTCATGGCTGGTGCCAATAGTTTGCAGCAAGTCAGCAACAAGAACAAAGCAGACCACAAGCTTATTATGGAGTCGATCTTTGGGGAAGGCAACAAAGTATATATCTGTAATTGACCATATATATTTGGCAGATGGAAGGATAGAGCAACTTACAGGCTTGGACTGCAAGCACCCCCATCAAAGCACAGTTCATCATGGTCCCAATAAACTAGCAGAAATAATGATATTGAAGAACTTGAAGCCAGTACTGAGCATACCAGTGGGATTGTACTACATGATATCAGCTCTAATGCCCCTATAGCAGATGAGGAACTGCACATACAATTCTCCAACATTGAAGTCAGACTGGAAGCGGTTTTGCAATTGCGATGACATTGATAGAAAGGTCCACTCGCCTTGCTGACTTTATATACAAACACCGTCTCCTATAAAAAGAACACTCTCACCTTAAGTCCGTGTCCGATCTTTCCCAGATCTTCTGTTCGGATGTGACTTGTGGAGTGCTGCCGGGCTGGCATCAAGCATGACGATTCCTTGGAGCCAATGTGTGGCAGCAGACAGACGGAATGGAGCCATTGGTCCCATTGCGCCACCCCCATCGTTGGCCGTTCTAACACTGGCGTTGTTTTCTCTCCTGATTTGCAGCGGCGCAGAGGTATGATATAACAGTGGGGTGGCGCGGGGCGGCAACACATGCCAACGATCCATGCCAACGATCCATGCTCAGGCTAGTGCCATGATCTCCGTGCAGCCAATCGCCAGTATCAAAGAATGTCCCCGGGAGCGTGTGCCTCAAGTGGCGTCCAATCATCACCATGACGTTGACGATGGAACAAGGGCCAGCTAACATAGCTGCATCGTGATTTTTGGATCCAGCAAATAGCAGCCCGGTGCCACCGATTGCTGTAATTGCTGTGAATGAGCGGAGTATCATGATATTCTCACTCACCTTGCGGAATCATACGTGATTCGCGAGGCGAAGAGTTCCGGGGACTCTTCCATACTGGCAAGCAGCGTCGGTGGACTTTCCCCCGACTGAGCGGCAGTGACTCGGAAGCGCTGTGCGTCTCGACTGCGGCTCACTGGTATCGTCGGCGGTGTCCAGCAACGACAACAAGTCTTCACACTGGCAGCCACAGCCATGTACCGTGGCATGCATTCTGAGAGTCAAGTGCGGGAACTTGAGGCAGATGGTTGTCGAAGACAAGCCACGTTGACAAATTGATCGTCGGATGAGAAACGCCGAAGGCTCACACGGTCACCCGTCAATCAACAACGGGCACCGCATTTGTAACTTGGTCCCGACCACCACCATGAGGTCGGTGAAGACCTTGAGAAATCGTAGGCGATGTCGGCTCTGCGTCTCTGCGTGCACTCATATATCTTATAGGGCTTCCGAGGTCCCTTTTCAAGCACTCAAATGACCGACGTTTGGAGGAGAGTCCTGATGCATCACTGCTCGACCTGAAGGAATCGTCTTCCCAGTCGCCGACCCACGAAGACCTGGAAACTCCGCGGGTTTCTCCTATCTCCAGGCTCCCGTTCGATGTTCTCGTCGAGATATTTCTCTACGTGCACGGCGACACCGCCAGCGAGGGCTCCCGGATAGCATACTCGACCTTTGAGTGCAGCCGCGTATGTGTGGCGTGGCGCCAGCTCGCGCTTCATACACCATTGCTTTGGTCCCGAATCAACTTCGACACTCCAGCTTGGACTCGTCACTGTCTCGACCGGGCGAAATCAGCGCCGCTTATTGTGGAAGGGGACCTGGCGAGCGACAGCCGCGGCGCGCCGTCGGTGGTCACTCAGAGGGAGGAGCATATAACAGCCGTGCTGGAGGATCACCGGGAGAGAATCAAGGCGATCAGCCTTGTTCTCCCCCCACGGCCAACTGAACGTCTCCAGCGTGCACTCGTTGGGGGCTTTCCTATCCTTGTGCGGCTCCATCTGCGAGTCAAGAACGACTGGAGCGTCCCTGCGCCAACGCCTAATTGCTATCCTCGGCTCCACACACTTTGTCTCAACTCCCCCTTTCCTCGAATACTCCGCCTCACGGGAGAACGACTGGCGATACTTGATCTAAATGCAGCCGGCATCGACGCTGAGCTCCCGTACCTTCTGTCCCTGCTTACCCAGCTCACCACACTTAAACTCACCATCCGGCGCAATATCTGGGGTGGGCCACCCACCCCGCCTCATACCACAACATCACTTCCCAAACTCCGCTGGCTGTTCATCACTGACTTCTCGGAGTACGAGGAGCCTTCTCGCAGTGGCCAGCTTCTTGGCGCGCTTGCACTCCCCGTGCTACAGCGATGCACGCTGAATCTGTGGCACGTGCCCCGCACAGGCCGGCTCCTCCGTGGCCTCCTCGACACCGCGCTCGGGACGCACTTCCCTGCGGCCCGTGGCCAGAGCCAGCGCACGTTCCTCCGGGTCCAATACGAAGATCCCACGTCAACGGTTAGGTGCCGTCATATGACGGAGCGAACCCCGCAGCACCACCTGGACCTCACTTTCCGCTCCGTCGCCAGCGACGGTGCTGCACGCGAACTCGTCGTCGCGTGGCACGTCGATTCGATCCCAGAAGCCAGCGTCATGGTCGTGATCGCCGAGCTCGGCAACCCCAAGGAGCCGTTCCAAGTTGCCAGTGGCCCGCAAATTATGTATACCCCAGCGCTCCAGGAGACCCTCGCCGTCGTCGACACACTGGTCCTGACGAATTGGATGTTGCACTGGTACACCGAGTCCAACTTGTGGACCGCATTCCTGAATTCGCTGAACAATCTTTCGACGCTGGTTCTCGCAGAGTGTGCCCTTGTCTCGGAATGGGAAGCACTCCTCGGCGACAGGGCAGCTAGTATTGCATTCCTGACGCTTGACAATGATGCGGTGCGCTACAAGGAACCGCACGGCTACGACGAGCTGGACAGCACTTATGGCACGAGTCTGTGGGATCGATCAGACGGTTTTTGGATGTATATGGCCCGAAGTGTCGGCTGGAGACTTAAGTAAAGTACAGTACATGGTTGGTCGATTCAACCATCCCCATAGAAATCTAAATCCCTAATCAGGTACGAAATCGCATGTAATTATTTTGAACGAGTGCCGCCCTATACCACAAACCGGGGTGTCTCCATCTCCAAGTCCTCCCCTCGCTCTTTCCCGATTGAGAACACTGGATCGCAAGACTTGTCTGTATCCCGCCCGAAGTCCCCGTCGCGACTGGCAAACTGGATCGTCGATGCCGTCGCGGTATTCTTGGACGGGTGGCTCTGGCCGGGGCGCGAGCCCCGACGGCTCGAAAGCGTGACGTTCGCGGAGCCAAGCTGCGTGTCGTGGTGGCCGATATGCGCGCGTGAGTTGAGAATCTGTGAAGCGCGTGAAGGGGCTCAGGCTACATGGAAGCGATGGGCAGAGCGCACAGTAAGGATGCTGATGGAGTATACTTTGGAGAGCCAGATACAAGTGCCTGGACAAGGTCAGAAGATGACCCGAAGTTCGCATATATGCTATTAATTACCCAAGTGAAAGTTGTTCCCGTTGTATTTGACAAATAGCGCCAGGTCAACGAGAGCGAAGACGGCACAGGGAATGCCGGTTTCGATCGTTACCTGGGGGTTATCTCAGATGGAAATTGAGGGATGCAATGAGGTTTACGGTTATTATTCTCGTGACAGCCGCCTGAGTCGCGCCGCTGAAACCCGGCTCGCGCGCTTTGAGAAGGTAATATATTGTGGCAACGACGATCAGCAAGTCAGCGGCGGCGGTAGCACTTAGCCAGGCCTGAAAACCGAGTGAGTCACGGCCGACCTGAAAAATGATGCGGGAAATACAATTGGGGGCTTCATTCTATCGAAAGTCAGCGCCGAAAAGTGCTTTGCTTGGATGATCTGAACGCCGGTCCAGATTCCAGCGCCGAATTGAAAGAGTGTGATCTGTGGGCAAGGTTAGGAGATAGCTCTTGAGAGACATGTGCGGGTGACGAACAATGGTGATGATGATCGGAACAACCCAGGCCTTTCGAGCCCCGATGATATGGATGCGCCAAGCAAAGAATAGCTGGCCGACGCATCCGACTGGCAGGGGATGAGTTGCAAGCGGGAGGAATGCGGGAATAAGTTGGTGGACGCACTCGTGGACCCCAGGATCGGGACGCTGAACCAGGCCCACCCAACTGTGTCGAGGCTGGCGAAGTCCCCCCACTTGGCGCCGAACGTTCTAATGGTGTCGCGGCTGTCGCCCAGGGTTTGCAGGAGCTCCGCGACGAGCACGAAGCAGACGATGGCCTTGTTTGGGAGTCGATCCCGCGGGAAGGCGACGAAGTAGATGTCTAAGCTAGAATGAGTTTGTGCACGAGGGTACGGTGTGGAATAAGACTGGCAGGCTTGAACAACGAGAGCTCCCATCAGCGCCCAGTTCATAATTGTTCCCACAAACTACAGGCTTATCAGCTGTAGCTTAGGCGGTATCCTAAGTTGTTGAGCGCACCAACGGGATTGTTCTGTGAGACGCGACTGAGAGGGACAGATACCGTCGAATGAAAAAAAATGTGACGCACAATTCACCGATATTGAAACTGGGCTTGAAGCCACCGCCTTGAGATTGGGAGTCCATCGAAGGAAAAGAAGTTGGCGGGCGATCAATGGAAGGGGAGACGAGTGCACTATCTCCTTTGCTCAGTATATATGTGCGCGGAAGAAAGTTATTAAAAGAATGCTCTCACCTTAGCCCCTCCACCATCCGATCGATTTACAGATCATCTGTTCGGAGGTCGACGCGGGACGATAATGACAAGCTTGGCTGAACCCCTCTTCCGCTTGAAGGCTGGTGCATCCCGGAGGCGTTCGTCAATGAATGGCAGAGGCTGACAGAAGGGACGGAGCACCTTGCGCCACGAGGTCACCAACCGCGGCTGTTGATCAATCTAAGCCAAGCACCGTCGTCTCCGAAGGTCCACCATAGAATGAGCCACCTGGAGAACGACCGAGATCATGTTGAGATGGCGAGTTGACGACTGCCGAGACATCGTGGGACCACTCTTCGCCCAACCACCAATGGCAATATGATTTGTATGCCGATTCTCGGCTTACTAATGGGGAGCTTGCTCAATCCGAGTTGAGTCATTTAAGAGATAAAAATAATAAGATAAATACAATCAGTCAAAGAAATTATCTAAATACATACTCAAGTCCATATCATAGGTATTCAAAGCAAAACCAAGAGTAGCCCTCCGAGTATTATCAGCATATAATAGCTTCATTGTCTCTGTTACTGTTGAGCGTTGAAGACGAGTCCATGCAAAAGGAGCACGGAATGCAAGGCCTTGTAAGGTTTTGACACGAGAGATAGCCACAAAAGAAAGGCCAGAGGAAAAGTCCTTGGGTCCAAGGTCAATGACTGCTCTATGCAGAGTCAAGCCTTGACTTTTGTGAATGGTAATGGCCCAAGCAGTGGTCAGAGGCAGCTGTGTACAGCTAAGTGCTGTTCCAGATGTACTCTCCCAACGAGCAGTCATAGGTACAATAGGGATCCAAGAAGGATTGATATCTGGCCAGCCAGGAACTGGAGGGCCTGTAGCTGATTTAGTCAAATAGTTAAGAAGTGGTTCAAGGAAATACCTGAGTAAGTTGTTCCATCACACTCAACAAATACAACTGCAGGCAATTGGTTTTGAGGGTTAGAGTTCGGATGGAACCATATCTTCTTGACAGTTCCCTGGGCTCCGTTGACTAGACCTGCTCCCAGTTAGTTTAATCATATCTTATAACTCCAATTATATGACCTTTTGATGTCCATATATTCCGAGTAATCATAACACGAGCCCCTTCAGCTAGTAGAACCTCTGGCTGAAGCCCATCTGCATCCTCATCAGAGGCCTTCTGAGCTTCCTTGATATTATGCTGGGCCTTGCAACAGAGAACTGGCTTTCCTAGATCACGTAATCGCATATGGTTCAATGCATATACCATTTCTTTGGTTGGTAGAAGATGCAATGTATTAGAGAAGTCTGCTTTCTCTTCAGCAGAAAGGTTGTCCCAAAAACGTGTAGAAAAGAGCTCATAGTCCTGCTCCTCTGTTTTATATTCACGCAGTCGTAGTAGCGCATCTCGGAACTTCTCTTGAATAGGATCATTGCCACTCTGTCGGAATATATGCTTGAGAGTAACAGATTGTGTAAAACTCTCAAATACAGCTCTTCCCTCAGCAGCCAGTGCCGCATTTCGTCCCAGAGCAGGTAGTGTTGAGTAGAGGGGGGGTATCTCCAATTGGAGGTAGTTGACAGAAATCACCAAAGATTAGAGTGGCTACACCACCTAAAGTCTCTTCATTTTTGGCTGGAAAAGCTTGTCGCAAACGACGGTCAACCCTTCCCATTTGGCCACGCCCAATCATGGATTTTTCATCAATGATGAGCAGTTTAACTTCTCGCCAACATGTTTGTACACGTGCAAGTCCACCCCGTGAGAGTTGATCAAATTGACCCTTTACTGGAATTGTAAGGCCAAAGTTAATTGTCCATCCTCTAATTCCATAGGCAGAAATGCCAGTTGGAGCTATGCGCACTGTAGGGTCTTTGGAACCCTCCACCTCTGGATCAACAGCATATAGCTCACGCAAAGCGGCAGTGATACACCAGATTAGAAATGATTTCCCAGTTCCTGCAGTCCCATCAATATTGATCCTCAGGGGAGGTGGTTCATTCAGGCCAGTTTGCAATAGCTTGAAGTATGCCATCACTTGTAGAAAAACATCACGCTGTTCTCCCTTGAGCAATCTCCAGTCAACTCCATTGGGCAAGGGCTGAATCTCATCATTAGGAGCTTCTTTGACTTGTTTTCCAAGCCAGGATTCTGCATCTTTGACAAACTCTAGTCCAGGGGAAGATCCAACCCAATCATAAGCCAAATCAAAATCTCTTTTTCCCAGATCAGAGTTCTGATGAACAGGTTCGTTTGGAGCACGACCAGCCTCTTGCATCCAATCTGCAATATAGTGTTGTGGCTCTTGATCTCCTTCAATTGATTCAGAGTCTGATTCATCATCCACATCAACCTCTTGAGCAACTGAAGTTGGAAGTGTGTCATCTGGATGTTGGTGATCATGTGGGTTCTGATCAAGACATTTGGCTTGATATGCCTCTGCATAGCTTGAATATTTTTCCAGTTGATCAGGAGCACCTTGATTTGGGACAACTTCAAGCAGTTGTTTTCGAGAAGTGAATGGATGATGAAGAAGCAACCGTGCATAACAGTATTTCTCATATATCTCCTCATTTCCCTTGTCTGGTGAATATCGAGGCCAGATACTAACAATAAATGGCTTTCCGCCTCGGTTTCCACGTCTGCAGACTGTGTTTCCAGTCCACTCCCAATGTGTTGCAAACTCCAATAGGCTGACATCTTTGAACCGAACAGGATCTGCAGAGGCATATCTTTCATAACGCTCCAATATCGAAAGACGTTCAATAGTCCCAGCTTCAAAGTTGACCATTGCTGAGGATGTATCTAGATTGACACAAATGTTTCGTGGACTTCTTCGAGAACTTCGGATCAGATTACAACCCAGAAGAATGTGAGAGGTCTCTTGTGCTGAAACATCACGCTCGGCAGCCAATGTAGAAAGCATCTTTTGGTATGCAATTCCTGCCTGATCTGTATCCTTCAAGTGAGAGATAGCCATTTGAAGCATTTGAGGGTAGGTGGTAGCAGTAGTTTCTGACTTGCTTGCATATTTAGCCACATATGCAATCACTGAATCTCTGTTGATCACTGGTCAGATGTCGATATTTGCGCGCCATAGCAAGATGACTTCAGGATTGAATGAGTTTAACAGTTCATCATTTCGCCGTGTTAGGTATTCCGCAAACTGTTTATCGGCTGCCTTTGCAAATGTTGATGCTTCAATACATTCCTTTGGAAATCCAAAACGGCAGAACACCTCCCCAGAGCCTTTTTTCTTACGCTGACAATAGCTGGGTGTGCATATTGTATGGCGTTGAAGACGATTCAAGAGTTGAGCAAGCTCCAGTTTTGTATCCTCCAGAGTTGGGAAAAGACGTGCAGAGGGATGGATAGAAGCTGGTGGAATATTACGAGCAGGATTCCAGGTAGAGATATGCTGATCCCAAAAGTCAATAAAACCCTGCTTCTATAGAAACTTATGTCAACATCACAAAAGATAATCAAAAAATTAAGAGCTAACCATTTCCACATTTGTCATATCAATTTTATCAACTGATGGTGCATCTTCAAGCCATAAGAATCCATGGACATGACTGCTACCATGATGTTGCCACTCATATCACCACCAGTAGTCTTTGACTTTAAACTTTGGCTGAAGATATTCTTTGAAAAATACTTCAAATCGCTTCTGAAAATAATATCCTGCAATTGCTGGGTTTTCATTTAGGTCTTTATTGCGAATTCAATAGGAGTGGACATCCTCTTCAGCTCCAGGAATATGGTGTGGCATATGCTGATGCATGTCTGGCCATTGGATATCTGCCGAAGAGAATGTGACAAATAGATGAGGGGTACCACATTCAGGTGACCTGATTTGAGCAATCAAGTCATGTTGCCCTTTAGCCCAAAATGGTCGTGATCCAGGAAGATTTGTACCAGCACTAGCAATTCGGTCTGCCAGGCCTTTCACATCATTGTTCTCCAACATTTCCCGAATATCGTCAATTGAGAGCACTTTGTCATTTTTATGTGTTGTTGTATACCACTTTGCTGCCTTTTTAGCACTATGCCGCATAATGGTATTCAAAGCCCAATATCGAAAACGGGGATGTCGAGCAAAACGTCCATCATAATAGCGCATCATGTGTCCAGACCACTCCATCATTGTGACAGGAATATTGCGTACTGCCTTGAAATCGGCTTCACCGTTGGGGAAAAGAGAAGGAAATGCATCAATAGCAATCATCCGATCAGAGTGTTCATTGATGGGTGTCCCTCCTACTGGAGGAACAGTCATGATCACAGGCCCATTTGATACTCCAGCAGCAGCACGAAGTAGATCTATCTCAGTTTAATCTGCACCTAGATTTGGAACAAATGCATTTGTTATGTGAGGATCCTCTTCAGCTGACTGATCTCCAGTCTGATCTTGTGGGGGTCCATCATCAGTTCCAAAATCCGGCATATCTGTGGCATCCACAGTATGTAAGCGATTGCGAATTGATTCATTAGCTGGTAGATTCTCTACACGTTGCCAGTCAATCTGTACTCGTTGATTGCGGTAGGTAGGATGATTTTGCTCCAGATAGTGTAACCACTGAGATATAACATCTCGTCGCACATGGAAATCTTGGTGGACATCCTCATTATCTCCAACTCGTCGCATCACAATAACGTCACACTCTTCAGGAAGTAGCGGAACCTTTGCATGAATCTTTGAGGTATCCCGTACAAAGTTGCAACAGTGACCAGAGTACTTCATCTGACCTCCACGTACTTGATAGAGTGAGACCAATGCATGAATTGAGGCAATCATAATCTCCTCGATCTGTGTTAACAGTGGCAAATGTGGTGGCATTGGCCCAGGATCTATTTTATTTGCAGCTCGAAACTTTTCCGGATTCTTTCGGGCAGAACATTTAATGTATTTTC